AAATGATTATGAAGTTAAACAGTATAGTGTGTGTGTGGTCACTGTTGATGTTTCTTGTGCTTGTTGTGAAGTTGCTCTAGGGGAAGCAAGTGATGCATTGATATTTAACTGGATTTTGACCTCCTTGGAGATCAAATTATATTGGATCAGTGTCAAATGAACCATACTAGTAGCAATAATTTTTCAGTTCATTAATATAAGGTGGTCAATTAAACCTAAAATTAGGTGTTCTTGCTCACTCTATGATCACCTTAGGTTGCCACTATTCTTAATACTACTGATGCTATACTTTACCATCCTAATTATGAATTAGGTTGTATTACATTAAATCTAATTTTATGGTTTTGTACTATATCTTTGCATCAATGTTGGTGACAGATTTAGAACAAAATCGGATGCCTCACTTTTAAGGACAACGGAAACAGTTATTTCAGATGACAACCCTTTTGGATCCTCTCCTGATGAACTGGTCATCAATCAGCATAGGATAAATTTAGTACAAAATCTTGGAAGTCAAAGAACATGGCAGTAGGCAAGAAATGATTGCATAAATTTTAGAGGAATACAAACCTAGATATTTTGAATCTAGTTTAGAGTTTGGCTCTAATGTGTTAATCCAGTGGCTCAACTTCATTTAAATTCCTTTTTCCCCCCTCCCCCTTGACTATTCCTTTAGCATTTTCTTCTTAGCTAAAGATGGATCATTGAACTGTTCTTGGCACTGTGGCATTACTTCTTTATTGATTGTTGTAAATGAAGAATGGCAACTGAGGGATCTGCCTCTTTGACCAATCAGGATTAAAGATTAACTGGTTAAATGTGGAGAAAATATTCAAACATGTGTGGTCTTAAAAACACTAGGTTTTAAAGTTCTTAAATGTTTCATGGCTGAATCAAATTGAAGATTAGAAACAATATACCAGGGATCTTTTTTCCCAAACCCAATGAAAGAGAAGATTGTTAATTATTAGGGTAAAATATACTGACTTTCTTAACTTTTAGTCACAATTACATGCTGGTCCATTAGTTTTTAAAATTGATACTCCACTCCAAATGTGTAAGTGACGTTAATGCCTAAACATTAAATGTCTAAAATGCCTTTCTTTTTTCACTCTTTTCCCTTCTCTTAGTTTGGCCGGCGGCTCTCTCTTACACCAGCCAGCCAACCTGCGCCTAGGTCTTGAGCTCCCCTGGGGAGCACGAACAAAGCACCAGATTTGGTGCTCCCTTGATTGGGGAGTGTTGCCAGCGGCGGGATGGCCAGTTAAGAGCATTTTTTTTGGAAAAAGAGAAAAAAATATAAAAAAGAAAAATATAGTTTATATAGTAGTAATTTTTAAATTTAATGAAGGATAAAATTGTTCTAAATATATTGTCACTTCATTAAATTAATGGAAACATTGAAGGTTGATTAACAACAGGATCTATATGTCCAACGAAAATATTCTTTTAAAGTGGAGTGATCATTTGAAAAACTAATAGACTCACATGTAATTATAGGTAAAAGTTGAAGGTATCAGTGTATTTTGCCCTACTTATTAACTATACAGACTGACCTACATTATAGGAATGAAGCTACGTGTTTTTTTCTATAGGAAGTGACTGAAGAAGTAAAAGTTATTATTAAATTTGCTAGTGTCTGACAGTGTTAGATATCTATTGTGGCAAGAGCCATTGTTACATGAGGCATTGTGGTCAGTCTGATTTGACTCTTGAGATGAGCAGGGTTTCATTACCATTGTCTTGCATTCTTGAAGTACATATGTTTGTGCAGTTCTATTGCAGGATTTTATGAATTCATTGAGATTATGCCTTCGTGCTTTCATTTGCTTAATATATATATATATATGTGTGTGTGTGTGTGTGTGTTAATGCAGAGACTACTCCTCGGAGGTACTCCCCGTTATCGTTCGGCCAAAGACTGAAAGTTGCTGTGGAAGTTGCTCAGTGTCTGTTATACCTCCATGATAGAGGGCTGCCACATGGAAACCTAAAGCCAACAAATATACTCCTTGCTGACGCTGATTACCATGCTTGCCTCACCGACTATTGTCTTCATCGGCTGATGACACCAACTGGCATTGCAGAGCAAATTCTGAATCTGGGAGCTCTTGGGTACTGTGCTCCGGAACTTGGTAGTGCATCTAAACCAGTCCCATCATTTAAGGCTGATGTGTATGCTCTTGGAGTGATCCTGATGGAATTGCTCACTAGAAGAAGCGCTGGGGACATAATATCAGGTCAATCAGGAGCAGTGGATCTGACAGATTGGGTTCGATTATGCGATCAAGAAGGACGGGGAATGGACTGTATTGACAGAGACATTGCTGGTGGGGAGGAACACTTGAAAGCGATGGATGATTTGCTTGCCATATCACTCAGGTGTATTCTTCCTGTGAATGAGAGGCCTAACATCAGACAAGTACATGAGGATCTCTGTTCAATATCCCTCTGAAATTTTGTACATTCGTCCTGGAATTCATTTTTGTCATTCCTCGACCACATTGTTGATTTTTTTTTTTGTCCTTTTTGTTTCATATTAATTCTTTCCCCTCGTCAATTGGTTTTCAGCCTAGTGATTTTGGGCTAGTTATCACATTCCATTTTCTTGAAAATTTTCCTGTAAAGTGACTACTGATCCATTGATTATTTGACAGTGTTTTTCAGTTTGATCCTCAATTGAGAGAAAAAGGTTGCAATTTTTTCCTCCCAGTCTGTGTTTAGGATTTCAATCTCTCACTTTTTCAACCATTCATTACACAATCAAATTTCAAAGATAAATGCTTTGAGGTAAATTCTTGAACTAATCAGACAAGCTAACGGCGCACGCCTTCGTATCAACTGCCGCTACTCTCACTCTTAACTTGACCGCCATTTTCCAGAGCTCAGGTTACGAAAACTACCCACTTACACTCCTCACATTGCTCATTAAAGCTTTGTTTTGTCCATGTTTATGGTAGCATCTCTGTTTTTTGTTGTGTTGCTTATAACTCACAGCCAGGGCCCGTTATACTGTTAAAACCACTAGTCAATAGTTAAAAAAATTAAAGTTAATGCTACGTAAATATTTTAAAACATAAATACTTATAGTTTTTAAAATTCAAGTATATTCTTTTTTTCTAAAAAAATTTGCTCATCCTTCTTTCAAAAACCTTAATTAGAAAAAACAATCTAAAAAATTTTGAAGGCTTGAAAATTTGGAGTTATATTCACCTTTAAAACCACAAATTTCTTTTTCGAAATAAAGCATATTGTCATTAAACTCAACAGTTTGATAATTTTTTTTTTCATTGAAACGGATGTATTAAAAATAAATTTTTTGTTCAATGATAAATATTTCAAATTTGATATTATCCAGTCAAGAGATTAATTTATTACCTTTAATTATTTATTTTCTTGAAAAATTTTTACTCAAAATTTGTTGACGTGTAAAGATTTTGACTTAATTATTATGCATCAAAAGTTTAAAAATTTAAGGGTGTACTATGTAGTGGGTTTCGTTCTCTATTTGTGATGCTTTAACTCTATTGCCTTTTTGATTCAATCTCGTTGCGTTTTAGATTTGGTTGGAACTAAGTTTTGCTTTTGATGTCGTGCTTGCTGTATAACTGTTGAGAAAGGGCTCTTGCGGTTACCATGAGATTGGATGGGAAGACATCTTAATCTTCTTGCAACATGGGGAGAGATCTTCAATTTTTATTCCTTGATTGGATTTGGATTTTTTGAGTTCTTGTTTCTACCATGGTTGGTAGCTCTTTATATTTTTTCATTATGAAATCAAACCTGCTTTTCAAAAAAAAAAAAAACTTATTAAATTTTTTTGTTAAATATTGAATTCTATTACGTATTAAAGTAAAATATTTTTACTTATTCAAGAGAATAGCATTGTTATTTTGCTTTTGCATTAAATACAACATTTTTAAATATTCAAAAAAAATTAGTATTATAATTTTTTATATATATCGTGAAGTCAATCAGTGTATCGATTAGATGACAACACATATAAAGAATTTAGAATTGAAGTTACATATTTGCAATAATCCACCACATGGTATTATTTTTTATTAATTTGTAGACAGTCTTAGCATATTATGACCTAAGATGATGTAATATTTTCTTTTGATCTTTTCTCTTTTATATATATATATATATATATATAAAGAGAATTATGCTATTTAGATATCATCTTATGCAGTCACACCAACATGTAATAATTCCTAAAATATTCGATTTGAAGTGTATCTATATCGAATATATCATATAAATTTTATTTTACTTACTTTAAATAAGAAAGTAAAATATGCATTTTAATATGAAAAACTATCCAATACACCTTGGGAGGAATTGAAGTTAAAAGGGGTATTACATACTCCCTGAGGATATATTTTAAAAAAATAATAAAATAAATAAAAAGACACATGATAATGTTCTAATCATACCAATGAAGTTTAAAAAAGCTCCACCAATAGCGTATAAAATAATATTCCTTTAAATATATACAAGAGCAAAGAAGTATATTTTAATAAGAATTAAAACTAATTTTTATAAACAAAAAATTCGGGCATCTTACCTTTATACAAAACAATTGTATTGAATGTGTGTCGCATTTTATATTTTAATCAAATCTATTCATTAACATATATGATCATATTTATAAAACAAATATAACGACTTTTTAAGAAAGTTACGAACATACTCATTGACGAGTCATAATAAAAGTGAATGAAAGTGTCTCTTTAAACTTTTATTTAATTTCAACGGGATCAGTGTAAAAAAAATAAAATTAATTTTCGTAAACTTTTACTTAGAAAGCTAAAAAGACAGGGCTATCTAACTTTGTACCAGTCCCAAGGGAATAGATGGATCATATTCAGTGCAGTGTCACAGCTTGGCTCTACATCTCCATGGCAAAAGCAATCCTCTTTTCGTTTTCTCAGTGATTATTTAACTAAATCTTCAAGTTTTGTTAGTTACTGTATTATTTACACTAAATCTTATCATAAGTAAACCCATTTTATCTTAACCAAGTGTGACCATACAACCAGCATCGAAGAGTATAGCGTGAGTGCTTTCCAAAGGATTTTGATTTTCCTTGCCATTTACATCTCATATTTACAGAATAATGCCCTCAACTCGACCTACAAAATTACCCAGGATTTCTTTTCCCAATCCCTTTTTACCTTTTTACCTTGCAAACGCTTATACACAAAGAGATAAATCGTTATCTTAAGAGCAACACATACAGTGAATACCAAAGGTAAAAAAAAAAAGAAGAAGCTGCTTTTCCCTTTCCTTTTCTTTCTTTCTTTCCGCGCATTTCTGGCCCCTCAAGAGTAACATTCTTTATTATCTTTCAACTGTCTTTTCTATGGTTCTGACGACTTCCAACACAGTAGCATTGCAAAAGAAACATCTTTTACAATTTAAAAGATGCCTAGTTATGCAACCAAAGCAAGACCTATGGGAACATGGTGCAAACTGTGCATCAGCTTCACAAGCATAACAGATGCAGCACATACCGTCGTCCGCATCCATTTCGCCACTTTGCAGCCCCTCAATCTTCTGTGGCTCAGTATGGCTGATGAGGAGGCTCAAGAAATTCTCCAGCTGACAAAGTTTAGGAAGATAGGCTTCTCCTCTAAAAGATGTAGCCTGCAATTTCAACGTGTAACCAAGTTCAAGATCGTAAAGGAAGTCAACTGAAGTCTTGAAATGAAATGAAATGAAGTTTCCTCAGCTTGTTAACACCCGTGCAAATGCCATAAAGCACAAAGAAACATGATGAACTCTTGGAGAAATTAAAGGTTAATAGTACTAACCCAATTATACTCTAACAGGTACTGGAAACCACAATGCATGATTTCAGGGCAATCCATGCTTGCAAATATACTCACAACGTCATTCTGTTCCTTCAATTCTGACTCTGCACTAGCATCCAACAAATTTACAATGATCCCTACTAGAGGGGCAAATATCATGCCTCTATTTACTTTCTCTAAAGATTGACCATGCCGTCTAAGTAACCTGTTCATAAAATGCAATAATATGAGAAAAAAGAATGTAAACAAGTATTTAATAGCACCATGTTTATTGCAACAAATGCAGCTATATATTAGTTCAACTGATTGCTAAGCCAATTTGTCAGACCAGTCAGTTCAGATATCTAAAAAAAATGGAGATAATTGGCTAGAACCAAGATATGTCCACTGAAATTTGAAATTTCAAGTCTGAAAAGAAAAAATGAGAAGCAGCGCTTAACATCTACATGCAGCTATAATGTGGTACAAGATCCAAAATGTCCAAAATGTTATATCATCAAATATCTTGCGTGCAGCTTCATAATAGTCAATCAAGTAACGTAATGTCTCTCCTTCTGAACAATGGACTAGCATCAAATTGGACAGGAATAAAGATATTAGACATTATAAGTTTAGAACAAAAAGACAGCCTTATAAGTTGACTCAACCAGAACACAACTTACAAGTCAAAAAATTCAGAATCAGCTGCTGTAGTTATATGGTTCAGAATAAAAACAATCAACTCGGTCAGCCTTCTAAGGTTTGTATCAGGTCCTGAGAGGAATGCTTGAGGGATCTCATAGGTACAGAATTCCAACACCCTTGCAAGATTACATGAGAGATCAAATATCACACAGCATTTTCTCTGCTGAAACTCCAATACCTGCAAAGCATGTCTATAACATCAAATCATAGATTCAAAGGAAGATGGGCTCAGATGGAACGAAAAGGAGGGCTAGCCTCACATATGGCATACATGACAAAAATCAAACCAGCATACTGATAAACAGTTCTAGCCATAATTCCAAATGTGATAATGTAAAGAGTCATTTTGTAACCATAAAAATATCAGCCCACAAGATAAAACCACTTTAATTTTATTTTACCCAAACAAAAAAAGGAATTGCAACTTCACTTGACTGAGTTTTTTTTTTTTTTGAAGGTAAAGACAATTCCTATTCATATTCAATCTTTCAGGAGACTAAAAGGCCAAACTAAGGCAATGGCAGTGCCAGGAGATATGTATTGCAGACTTAGCACTGGTTTTCCCAACTCACAAATTTGCAATTAGTCAGTATTCTTGCTCCCAATGTCTGTTTCAGCAACAAGCCCAAGTATGAAACCAGAGAGTAATGAGAAACACGCGTACCAGTTTCACATACAATTAACTGTTCCTGTGATGCAAGCAGTATAACTTTTATTCTATAACAAAAATGATGCAAGTCATTTACAATCCCACAGACGGGGATCATGTTTGAATTAAGAGATTCAAAACAGTAAGATAAATTTTAGCAAGTCATAATGTTAAACTGCTGAAAATATTGGAAATCACCATACATGATTTTCCTTTTAACCCGACATTATTGGGCCATCTTTGAACCTACCTGAGTTCATAGTAACCAGCCTTAAAAACCTTTCTACCAATACACATAATGCCATTCTTCATTCTTTCCCCATTTTTTTTTTACATGAGCTTAAAAATACATTCCTTATGATTCATCTAACATAAACTTCCTTGCATACCCCAGTCCTTTTTCTCTCACACCTTACACATATACCAAATGCTCCTCACAAAATCATCATAAATCCTCTCCGCATTCACCTATAACAAACGCACACTGCATGCCATCCATGAACACAAAGACAATATTGCATCTTACCCATGGTTTAAAGTAGGACTAAACCAGCACCAAACATGCAATGTTAGATTGCTTTCAAAAATTAGAGGAAAAATAAGTATATGTATAGATTCAAAATTTTGTCAAAAAAAGTACTTGGATTTCAGAGACCATGAACATAATAGTCATATAGCAAGAAAAACGATGACAAGAAATACTGTCTTTGGATTCCATACATTTTACCTTTTGACGCTTTCCCTATCCCAAAAGGTAGTAGTATTTATAAGGGTATTTCAGTACTGTCATGGTTTGGAACTAGGGAGTATCAGCCTTTTTCAGAAACATGTGTTATGATATTGTCTTTTTCATTTTTTTCAGTTTTATCCTAGTTTTCTATTTCTTTTTTTTTTCTTTTTCAGTTTTATCCTAGGTGGCTACTTTCTGAATGTAATAGAAAAGAAGTAGATAATGTGCATATAAGTCTGAAAAGATGCAAGGTCACTAAGTTAAGAAGCAAGAGGGAGAGAAAAATATAGGTATAGATAATGAAAAGCACAAATACACAACCACCATAAAGGTTTATTTAAAGTAACAAAACAGGAAGATAGTTGTCTGAGTGTGAACATAATTATACCTGGTATTTTTCTTGCATTTCTCGAATGGAAACTGAGAATTCAGTCATTGACCAGCTGAGAGTGTTGAATAGACGATTGAGAAAAGCAGAGAACAACTCTTCATCATTGACACAAGCTTCACGCAGCAGTCTCTTGAAAAATAAAGAGCCCCACGTAGGGCAAAAGTTAGAAACAGAAGTGATTTTGGGGAGAACAAGATGAACGACAAGCAATAGAGATGGTTTCACTATTCACCTGGAAAATAACTGAGGACGATGAAGATTCTCCATGCTTAGAAGAACCAAATCCAGAACCCTTGCATAGCCGCAGAAGAATATTTGTAACTGGTACCCAAGATCGGTTATCAAATGCTGACAGTAATGCCTTTGGCATTCGCTGTTTGGCTGCTTCATTGTTCTCAAAAGCTGCCAAATACTCCCTGTACTGCACCAGGACTGATATTGATTGGAGAAGAAGATCCCTTAAGTCTGCACTTGATATTCTTGGATCATTGAAGTGGGTAACTACAAATGTCACCTGATGAACAACCCACAAAACTCATACTCGAATGAACAAAGAACAATCCAAAAGTTACTTCACTGAGCTAATACTACATCAGGTTAAAAATATGTTAGGTTTTAGAGATAACAGGGTTATGTGCTTTTTGGAATTCTGAAATTAGGAGCTAGGAACATGTCAATTCCCTAACCACCACAAGCAACAAACAGAATAGAAACTGATTATTAAAGTTTTAAACATGTATTAACCGGAATCTTCTGAATGTTTAATCAACAATGTTCGTACAGTGAGAAACAGAGTTGATAAGCAACATCCAAAAATTTATCCAATTAATATGACTTTGTATAGTCATTTATGAGAAACAAGGTACATTTTTACTCAACTGAACATCCAAATTGCGAGTATAAAATCTAGAAAGAGAGAGAATAACCACAAAAAAAAAAAAGAGAGGTTTCCATGTCCATGTTATAAGACTAATGTCAAACTGTGATGAAGAAACAAAAATTAGCAGAAAGCAAATTGTTAATGGGCTTAATAGCTTGTGCACAATTATTGTTCACTTGCCAGGGAATATTGTAAGAGTGTTAAGAACATCAAAACAGTTAATGACTGCAAAACATATATGTTACACTTTACAGAGTGCTGTTTCTTTGTGCAGCGCATCATTTCATGAAACACGATTAACAGTGGAATATTCAAAAGATCATACCTGTCCTTTGAGATGTTTATGGCATTTTCATTTACATATACAATCATTTTTGCTTTATAAAATGCAATGCTGAGATCGTAAGAAATGATACAACTTGTAACAAAACAGTAAAATCCATCACAAGACTGTTCAAAACAAACTCTGACGAGTAAACTGTAGATAACTATAACAAAAAACAAAACTCAAGGAAAATCACAAAATCAGATCGATAGACAGAACATACAAATGAAGTAAGTCCTTGCTTGATAAATATTGCAGGCGGGACAAATGGAGGATCACTCTTACGCAAGACATGAAAGCAGTCAACCTGAAACAATTACAGGGGAATTACTGCTAATCGAGAAAAAAAAGGGGAGGGAGGGGGGGGGAGGAGGAAATAGACATGAAGTGGAAGTGCATTAAGTAAGAATTTGGAAAGGCCAATATGAAAATTCAAGCATAGCAATGTCGTCTATAAGCAGATTATAAAAAATAACTGCGCTATCAAATATAAAGAAAACTGACTTGAATAAACTCAAATCCTTCTTCAATATCTTGCCAGGAATCTTTTGTTTGATAGGTAATATATCTTACCAGGATATATGTTGATAGCATTCACTGGCATTGAATTCTCAAAAACCAAAACACCAAAACTGTTGGGTTGAAGTTGCATTTTGTAGCTTTCCAATTACAAATGAAATTCAAAGTTTAAAGGTTTCTTGTTCAATTCACTTATAAACTGCAGTTACTTTAAATATGTTTTAGAAGGAATGCAAAAATTGTGTATGTAAACACAAATGAAAGAACATTTTTCCATACAATATGCAACACACACAACTGATCTTATATAGTCTTATCTTGATTTAAATTGGAAAAACAAAGCATAAAATAGTTGAAGGAAGACTTGTATTACCAGAGCTTCAAGGTAAAACTCAGGGATGTAGATAAATACTGAATCCAATTTGCTAAGAACCAGTAGCAATTGCACAATCCACATGCATGTGGCATACATTCCTCTCTGCTTCCATCGGGAAAATAGAGAGACACGATACCTGTTAATCAAGACAAAAGAACCAACTATGAGCATATAAAGGACTCAACCAAACTAATTTCACCTGTTAGAATTTGAATTTTTCACCCAAACAAATACAAGAAAAAGGAACTATATCTTCCAGGTCTAATTTCTTAAAACAGTGAACCTAGCTCCAGATAATAGGTATACTGAGAAACATCAATTCAATAAGCAAGTGCACACTCACACAAGCATGCATGCATGTAGCACAAACTGCAACTTCCAATTCTAATTTCATAAATGAGGAGCAAATAAAGGCAATCACTGTTCAGACAGATGACATGGATACAACATTAAATTACCTTATACCCTATGTAAATCTCCTTTGTAGACATTAGATTGACAGTTAGATACCATAAGAATCTTTACAAAGAGTACAAACTTAATGAGTGAAAAACAAATAAAAAAAAAGGTTACTGAGTCCAGTGGATGTTTATTCAGGCTAAAGCTTACAAAGAAAAGTTGAGTACATCCATTTGTATAATGTACCTTAACTGGCCATAACTGAATTTGACAGACACAATTCTTTAAAACAGATCTTTAACTTAGAACACAAAAAAATCTCTAAATGTCCACAAAACAACTTTGGTCCAAACATTAATGAAAACTTTATTTCCTTGTCACTACTTTGGTGGGGAAACCAGATTAGTATGCAAGAAGGTTATTAAGAAAAAAATGAACTCAAATTCCAAAGAATGGCTCAGGTTTGGCAAAGATAAAGATACAAGGCTTGCAAGTAATCAAACCTAAATAAGTCCATAAGAACATAGCTTTTGAAGCGTCCACCTTGATGTTTGAAATAATAAAATGAATCAAGAATTATAATCATACCACATAATTATAATCATTATCGCTGCAAATTTAATGACTAAAGATAGATAAGTCTCCTCAGATCTAAGATTTCAAAACTGCATATCATAACATAAATACTTTGTTAACATCATAAATGAAATACAATGTGTCACTTGAACACCAAGGGCTAAACCAAAACAAGAAAAGAGCACAAGCAAATTAAATGACTGAAAAAAATGAGACCTAGAAAATAGAAAGGATCCATGGAATAAAAAACTAATCTTAGTTATCTTACCATGTGCAATGTCTGACAAAATCAATAACTTCTTCACGATTTTTATTACGAGTCTCCTTCAAACGCTTTAATTGCTCACTGCAAGCTTGTTCCCGTATTTGTTTATCAGTTTCTTCCAGGAGGGATATCGACTGTGACTGTTGAGACATGTAATATGACGCCTATAAAAGGAATATTTTCTCTCAGTTTTTTACATCATTAAAGACAAGAAGAATGGGGAAAGCAATTACTACTCAAGGGAGATGCAAATATTCAATTCCTCATGGTAAAGATCATAAAAATCAATTACAAAAAGAACAAGAATATTGTAGAGACAATTGCTTCAGAACAAAAACAAAAACAGAAGGATCCTTGTCAACATTTCAACATGTTAAGATCAATAAAGCATTTTGTGTCATTCAGGTGGACCTTGAAATTTGAAGACATAACATAAAAATATTAATAGTAAGTTAAACACACTCAAAATTCAATACTACAAGACATGCAAAACATAGATTTTTATCATGGTTAAAATTGACAACTTAGTCACACTTCCTCAGCAGGTTGAAAACTATTACTATGCAAAACAGTATACTGACATAACTATCATGTCTCAGGCACACAAAGACATATAATTAAACACTGAACACCAAAGGTACAAAACATAGCCTGAGAACCACTAGACCTATAAAAGAATAGGAAGTGGCATGAAGATGTGAGAAAGATACCAATCATCCTGAAACTACAAAGACAAACAGTTGAAACCTCCAAGTGATTTTCTTCTCCTAGTATAGCAATCATAAAAACCATTCTCTAACAAATATGGCAAGAACTCAGACATTCAGCTAAACATGTCAAAGCAGATTGTACAACCAAAAAAGTTCCCCATTACTTTGCAATATATAGAGTTCAACCACTGTCACAAGAGATAATGAGAAGCAACTCTCCTTTCTTCTCCTTTCATTCTTAAAAATGGAAAAATAAAATGTATTCATTCACGAAATTGTGTTCTATATACATGGAATACCCACACAGAAAACATAAAATGCAGCTGGAGTTCAAAATTATTGATAAACAAAAGAACAAAGCAGTAATTAAATATTTATTTGAATCAGTAAGGCCAGCTTCCATCCCTTCACAATCCCTTGTGTATGTTAGTTTTGTTGATTTCACTTTAAGTTACACCTCAAATATTTTATAAATAGCATCAACAAAATAAGCAAATTTTAAAATAAAAACAACTTTATCATATCTAGCACCACAAGAAAAATAGACCATTGCTTGTAGAAACAATGAAAACTACCACACTCAGCATTTTGTGTATGCAGATAAAGTGGTGAAGCACCCTAAGCTCTGATGTTTTCACATCCATGGCAAGCATAGAAGTTTAGTTTTCTTGAATTAACTCTTTTAAAGCAACATTTTCATCAAACTTTTCTTGCTTGGCTTATCTCTTATCTAAAGGAACTTCAACCAAACTTTTAAATAAATAAAACTAAAAGTAAACTCCACTTCTTTAACTCCCTTTGCAGATTACCATTTCTGGAATTTTAGGAAAAACTTTTCTAACCTTAGTTCAGTTTAACTTATGCTCGAGTATCTCAAATATTTTATGAAAAGCAAAGGAAAAATACATGCAAATGTAAAAACTAAAAAGCTTGATCATTTAGAATGAAATGAAAACAATTTAAATACACTTTCTTTTCTGGTGAACCAATGACCCCTGCTACACCACAAGAGACAGCCTTCTCGAATCCCATTTTCCCAACATCAGGTTTCTTTTTTGAACCCATGGCTTATTTCCCAACCATTTCTTA